TGGCAGAGTGAATTGATCTAATTTTCTGGTGATGTCACCTGCTGGAGAGGTACACACGCGTTCCATTCCGTGTATGTTTTTTTCTTCATCGCGTAGATGCTGCCGTTTCTGAACGTAGCTCTCGGCTCACTGTTCGTCATGTTTGCTGAATAAAATGTCTGGCTTTTTTGCCAGCATTAGAATGGAAATTCATTTTACGATTTTTCTGACCGCCTTGCGCCTCTTTCGCCAATGTATGGAAGAAGCGTTTGGAAGCCCAAGGACGATTGACAGTCAGATTTCTCCTCGAGATTGGAAGGAAGCATGGATGTCATGTCTTGAGTGCTTGGAGCAAACAGAGGGCAGAATTTATGTCTTAGAAGGCGATGACTGCATTATTTTGGCCCGGGTCAGACGTCTTCGATGCGTGGTCTCCATAGACAACTGATCCCTTCTTAAGGTTGTGGAGAATAATGCAGCAATGTTGCAGCTGGAAGCGATCGTATCACACGGGACCTCCTGGCGTGACTTTCATGCCTTCGTCGGCAGGTACCATAAGAATCAATTTGAAATTGCTATGGGCGATTTCGACCTGCTGCGTACCGCGTGGGAGTCTGCAGCGGAAGTATCGTTGCCATATGCTGCTTGGGTTTAATACGACAATTCCCTTGTTTTGGATTTAATCCGAATTCCGTGTATATTATTTATAGCCAAGGGAGGTAACTTTGGCTTGGATGGATTGACGCATCGTGCGAAAATTTAGCCTAACGCGGCCATGTAATCGACAAAAAAAAAAAAAATTTATAATAAATCCTGTTCTTGTATTGCCTGCTTTCAATAGGAACTACATTACTTCACTTACCGCAATCGCTTGGCAAGTCCAACACACTACGATATGGTTATCTTTACTATTTTTGTTGCAGTTAACGGTGCTCATATATCTGTTATTAATTTGTATTTCTGAAATTAACAATCTTCATAACAGCCGGAATTTTCTGTTAATCTGCCAGATACCAATTTTATCGCTCACTTGCTGCTATTCCTAAGCTGTATATTCGGAAGCAATAGTCTTATCTTTCTGTAGCCAAATACCTTTCCATCTTCATCATATCCATGCCGCCGCTCCGCTCGCAAAAAAAAAAAAAATGTAC